AGAGTTTGAGGTTGCTGTGAGTTATGACACCACTGCACTCTACGAAGGACAACATAGTAAAACTCTGTTTCAAAAAAAAAAAAAAAATGGTTTGGCACCTGTAGCTCAGCAGCTAGGGCGCCAGCCACATACACCGGAGCTGGGGGGTTTGAATCCAGCCTGGGCCTGCCAAACAACAATGACAACTACAACCAAAAAACAGCCAGGCATTGCAGCGGGCGCCTGTAGTCCCAGCTACTCAGGAGGATGAGGCAAAAGAATCACTTAAGCCCAAGAGTTTGAGGTTGTTGTGAGCTGTGACGCCAGGGCACTTTTCCCAGGGCAACATAGTGAGGCTCTGTCTCCAAAAAATAAAATAAATAAATAAATAAATACATTTTAAAAATAGGCTGGGAGTTAGTAGATAACTATTCCTGATCAACACACATTAGTTATTAAGTAGATAAAATGAGCAAGCTGTACAACCCAGTTAACAAGTTACTATCCCAAGCACAAGTAAAAGAGGTGGATATTAAGTTTTAATGTTTTCTCCACCCAGTGATAACTTATTTATTGAAAAATTACTTGAGAATTAAAGAACAATGGCATATATGGAGAGATGGTTGGGGGTGGTTGTTTGTTCTAGTTTTTTTTTTTTTTTAAGAGACAGAGTTTTACTTTGTCACCCTCACTAGAGTGCCATTGTAACTCTGATTACAACTTAGGTGATTCTCTTGCCTCAGCCTCCTGAGTTGCTGGGACTACAGGTGCCCATCACAATGCCTGGCTATTTTGTTATTGTTGTTACAGTCTGGCCAGGGCCAGGTTCGAACTGGCCACCCTTGGTATATGGAACCGGCACCCTACTCACTGAGCCACAAGTGCCACCCTAGTTGTTTTTTTTTTTTTTTAATTATTCTAATTCTCTCTTTTCTGTCTTATCTCACAGACTTTTATCTGGATAAAATACGGTACACCACAGAAAAATTCTCACATGCCATCACAGTGGTTCATGCCTGTAATCCTAGCACTCTGGGAGGCTAAGGCAGTGGATTGCTTGAGCTCAGGAGGTTCAAGACCAGCCTTGAAGGAGCCAAAAGGAGACCCCATCTCTACTAAAACCAGAAAAACTAACCAGGTATTGTGGCATGAGCCTGTATTCCTAGCTACTCAGGAGGCTGAGGCAAGAGAATTGCTCAAGCCTAAGAGATTGAGGTTGCTGTGAGCTATGATACCACAGCACTCTGTCCCTCCCCCTCCGAAAAGAATAAATTCTCACAACCTAGATAACCATAAAAGATATTTCATCAGAGTCCCTAATTAATCAATAGGCAATAAATTTGTATTGAAACTCTACTATGTATAAGACACTTTTATATTCTTTTATTTATTCTTGTTGTTGTAGAGATGGGGTCTTGATCTGTCACCAGGCCAGAGTGCAATGACACGCTCAAGTGATCCTCCCACCTTAGCCTCCAAAGTAGCATGGACTACAGGTGTGTACCACCTCACCTTGGGTAATTTTTTTAAATTTTTTGTAGACACAGGATCTCACTCTTGCTCAGGCTCCTGGCCTCAAGCAATCCTCCTGCCTTAGCCTCCCAAAGTGCTGAAATTACAGACATAAGCCACTGGGCCCAACCTCAGACACTATTTCAGATATTGAGGATTCCACAATGAAAAAGATAAAGTTTCTGGCTTTAAACACACAAAGGACCTGCAAATAAAAACAGCATTATTAAAGAAAATCAATAAGAGAGATTTTTAAAACTGGGCATATTTCTTTTTTTTGGAGACAGAGTCTTGCTCTGTTGCCCTGGGCCCAGTGATGTAGGATCATCATAACTTACAGCAACCTAAAACTCTTGGGCTCAAGCAAATCCTCTTGCCTCAGCCTCCTATGTAGCTGGGACTATAGATGCCCACCACAATGCCTAGCTAGTCTATCTATGTTTAGTAAAGACAGAGTCTCACTTTTGCTTAGGCTGGTCTCAAACTCATGAGCTCAAGTAATCCACCCACCTCAGCCTCCCAGGCACTAGGTGAGCCACCACGCCCAGCCGAAAACTGGGCACATTGATAAGACCAATTGATGTGAAGAAAGCAGTCAGATAAAATTCAGGAGAGAGGCATTCTAATAGTAGCAGCAATACACGCAAAGGCTCTGAGAAAAATGCAAGCTTAATATGCTTAAGGTACCCAACAAGCCTGATGAGGAGAGATCACAGAAAACAAAGTGTGGAGAGCAGTCAGGTACTATAAGATCACTGTTTGGAGTTTGGACTTTATTCTGGGCTACAATAAAGTAACAAGGTAACTCTTCTTTGTAGTAGCAAATAAGTGTGTGTGTAGAGAAATAATAAAATCGACATTTGAGTACCTTTAAAAAAAATAAATAACAAGGTAACATGATCTTTCCATGTACAGGATCATGCCCGTACTCCCAGAACTTTGGAAGGCCGAGGCAGGGGGATTGCTTAAGGCCAGGAATTCAAGACCAGCCTGAGCAACATAGCAAGATCCCATTGCTACAAAAAATTTTGCAACTTAGTTAAGCACAGTGGTGTGTGCCTATAGTCCCAGCTACTGAGAAAGCTGAGGCAAGAGGATCACTTGAGCCTGGGACTCTGAGGCTGCAATGAGCGTGACGAGGCCACTGCACTCCAGCCTGGGTGACAACAGTGAGACTTTGTCTCTTAAAAGAAAGAAGAAGAAAGTAATATGATCTTATATATGCTTTAGAAAGCTCACTCTGGCTTCTATGTAAAGGATCAATCTGGGTGAGGAGTTGAGTGAAGATAGGAAAACCACTTAGGAAGCTAGTGTAGTAGTCTAGTTAAGAAAAGCAGTTTGGACTAGAACTATTAAGCAAGATAGTGGTCAACACTTGGATTCACAATATACACAGAAACTAGAATTAATAGGACTGATAAGTTATAGGCACTTGTGCTAGGTATAAGAAGCAGCAAAGATGAGTCGTAGGCTTTTGACCTGAGCACTGGGTAGAAGAATGACAGTAAAATTTACGGAGATGGGAAAGATTTAAGAAGCCAGCAAGAGTTCCATAAGAAACGTTAAGTTTGAGATGCCTATGAAACATCCAAACAGAGATGAAAAGTAGTTATATATATCAGTATGGCGTTCAAACATAAACTGAAGAAATCCAGTAACACAGCTGATTCTCTGTCATAGCAGTTATTTATATTCTATAAAGTCACCACATAGACTGAATTAGCAAATACTGAATAATTGTTCATAGGGAAAATACAGGGTTTGCTTTCTGTGAACCTTTGGTCACAGTTTCATCAATCAATACATAATCTTGTTTTATGTATGTTTATGTTTTAAAAACCTTAATATACATGTTTTATTTATTACCTTTGAACTCATGCCAACAGCACAAAGTTACACTTGAATGAAGCTTATCTCACACATGTATTTTCTCTGTAAGGCTCTTTACAGCTTCATTCACTCAGGAACACTCAACAACATTTTAGTTTATATTTAGGGATCACTGCAAATAGTGCAATCACAAATGGCACAAAATACAAAAATGTAGCACTAAATAAAAAGTTTTAGCATAAGAACTAAAACAAAAAGAGCATTGCCTAATTCAACTACTACTGAGATCGTGCACATCAGGAAACTCAAATTTTTCCACTATATGTCCATGCCTATGCATGCCGAGGTCCAAGGACTGGAGAAGATGAATGTTCCAACTTAGAGAGAATGAATTCTCCCCTCCTCTAACTTTTTCTGAGACAGTCTTGCTCTATTGCCTAGGCCAGAGTGCCATGGCCTCAGCCTAGCTTGCAGCAACCTCAAACTCCTGGATTCAAGTGATCTTCTTGCCTCACCCTCCTGAATAGCTGGGAGTACAGGCACCTGCCACACTAGGCCAGATAATTTTTCTATTTTTAGTAGAGACAGGGTCTCACTCTTGCTCACCTGGTTTTGAACTCCTGACTTCAAGCAATCCTCCCACCTTGGCCTCCCAGGGTGCTGGGATTATAGACATGTGCCACTGCACCTGGCCCCCCATGTATTTGTTCTATTCATACCCTGAAATATTGGATGGTATCCACCCACACTGGTGACCATGATCCTCTTTACTCAGTCTATAGATTCAAATGCTAATCTCTTCTGAAAACATCCATACAGACACACCCAGGGATATTTTACTAGCTATATGGGCACCTGTTAGCCCAGTCAAGTTGGCAAAAGTAGCCATCACAGTGACATACACAAAAGCCTGAGTGCAGTGTGCTGAAGACAGAATGAGAGCATGGAGATGAGACAGGAACTAGAAGGGGCTTTGCAGAGGAAGGACTGTGACATGGATGGGAGCTGGAATGAAACAGTGGGTAAGCAGGTGATTCCAGTGGATGACTGTTTTATGACCTTTTCACACACTAGTCATTATTATCTAATAGAGATGGAAAAACTAATATTATGGAAGACAAAGGGGATAACAACAATTTTAAAGTCCTGCAGAAGGCTAAAAAGGAGTGAGATTTTAAAGCCTGAGTTAAAGGGATAGTCTTAAATAAGAACCTTTCCATTTTAACAGGAAAAAACACATTCTGTATAGATACAAATGCAGGTAGACTGGTAGATTTAGAAGAAGAAAGATGAGTTCATTTTCTTCAAAATGCATGTATTGCTCGATGAAATGTAAAGCAATGTCATTGGCTGATCGTCACCACGGAGAGGGAAGTGAAATTTTAAAGGGAGAGGAGGTGTGAAATCGTCACATCAGAGAGTCAAAGGTAAACGAAAAAGGAAGTGAGTAGTACTGTCTGCCAACACTGAGTGCCCATCTGCGTTTGTGGTCGTGGACAGGCAATCAGTCTACTGAGATGGCCGTAACATTTTCCCCAGCAATTAATCACCTCACTGCCAAGTCACAGAAATTGCAGTCATTTCCCCTCTGATGTTTTATTTACCTTCTCCTTTAGTTCAGAGGATGCAATATTAGGCAGGAAATTCAAAACCAAGCCATTAGGAACAATATTTTCAATACTCCTTGGTATTACTATGAACACTCTCCCAAAACTTACCCCATCCTCCCGTAGGCCTTGCTGTACTTGGAATCAATTGCTATTGCTTTTTCACAATCCTTTATTGCATCTGTGTAGTGACCTAATTTGCTTTGAGCAGCAGCCCTAAGAGAAAAAAAAAGAGAGAGATTTTTATTACAAGCAGCTTTCAAGGTATAAATTAACATTTTCAGGTACTAATGAAACTACATTTTCATTGTCCCAACTTATAGATCATTCCCAGTCAATTTCTAAATCAAACTAAGTTAATTATACAGCCAAATGGGAAAGGAAAAAAGCTTAAAAACTTCTGTCCAGAGAAAAGAAATATGCAGGCTGCCTCTCACTGTTTACTTTGCTACGGAAAAGACAAACATGCAAGTCATACCACCAATTTACCTCCCTATTTCCTTTCTGTTATAATTAGCCCAAACTTAAAAAGGAAAACACAAGTTCATCTGGGCTTCCAGGAAGGCACACAGAATAAATGACTGCTGCCAAGTGACCACACAGAGTGCTGTGCTGTCAGCGTGTCACTTTCACGGTAGGGATCACATACAAGTAATACGCCAGTCCTCTGGACTTCCTCCCCTGCATTCACTTCTGAGGCAGAGTAAACTGCACTTCTTTCAGTCTTCCAAAAGTTCTCATACTCTTGTTTCTCAGCAAAAAGTTGAAGAAGGCAACTTTGGAAAAGGAACAGTTACATAGACAGAAATCTCTCCATCTGTGACCTCTCCTCAGTAAGGCTTCCATTACAAGGAGTAGGAAGAATTAACTCAAAGAAGATATAGGAAAGGAGAAACGCAGGCTCTAAGGTGGATGCTCAGAAAATCAAGTGGGTGCCAGCAACCAGGAAACAACAGGCATCTCCTGAATCAGACAAGAGGGCCCAAGTGTGGTGAGCACTTCTTAGGTTTCTCACAGCTACAAAGGAGGATGCTATGCTGCAGGCCCTCTGCCTCAAATGCTGTAACTCCAAGACCTGGTATCCTTTCTATTAACAAAGGCAAGGAAGCACTTTCTGAAAAATGCTGCTTGTGAGCCCAGAAATTAACTTAGGCTCCTTCATGTTCTTGAGTTTATAGACAAAGGTCCCAGGGTACTTCAGACTCTCACTCCCTGCTCCTCTCCTACTGCAGTCTGAGAAGCACTACTTTTATCTTTGCTACCTTTATTCTTCTCTCTTTACCCACAATTGTTGTTTTAATTGTCCTAAAAACATTCTGTTAAACCACCCAGTGAACCATTTCTCTTCCTTGAAATTAATCAATGGTCACTTCTTTCAGGGTCCTAAAAAGCACACATGAAAACAATAGGACTGATTAAAACACTATCTATCTTCAAGTATCAGTTAGAGTCCTCCCTGATACTTAGCATTTCTTATGTATCTTCTAATCTCTGTCAATGGAACTATAGATTAGGACTACCTAACACCACTTTTTTTTTTTTTTTTTTGAGACAATCTCACTTTGTCATCCTCGGCAGCTCAGGCTAGTGTCAAACTCCTGAGCTCAAGCAATCCACCTGCCTCAGCTTCCCAGAGTGCTGGGATTTCACACATGAGCCACCACACTCAGCCCTAATACTGCCTTTTATATCACATCAAATTTATTATTGTACCCCACAAAATACTGAATGTGCATAATAATAGATCGATTATTTGTTAGGTATCCATGAACAGAATTGCTATGTAAAACCTGGACAGAAGAAGCTAAAAGTTATACTGCCAATTCTGAAAGTTGAACCTGGGAATATAAACCTACCAAAATTTCTCTAAGAATTAACCCACCTTTTCCCACTAATGGGAAAAGACAGAGAAACAGACGTTTAGTTCTGATCAACAGGAAGATCCTGAGAGATTCTCATCAGAGCCTGCTTCCACAAAGCAAATGAATATGTGACTCTGGGTAACTGACATTTTCCCAGCTAATGCAAGGACTCCAGATCAATAAGCACATTTTAAAGTTCTACTGCATAAGGAGCACAACTTTCCAGACAAGCACAAGGCTTCCTTCTAGAGACCAGTCTTGTAAAGTTTATGTACAGACTCAGAAATTAGGTTTCAAGGAAACACATACTTACGCTCAAGTTGGCCTTCTAAGCCACAGTACTTTCAGAAAAGTACTTAGTAACAATAGGAAAGGAATAAGGTATTGCCTCAGCGCAAGCTTCATTTCCTACCACTATAGAAAGCTCTCCTTTGTGGGTAATTTTAGTCCATAGAGCCAGCAAGATGGCCTCAGAGGCCTCAAATCCCCAGGTCTGTTCTGTCCTCTGTTTGAGTTGCTTGAAAGAAAACAGTTCAGAATTAAGGCCTTGAATCCTGCTAACTCAGGAAGTTGGCCCTGGCTTTACAACTACCAAACCAATTCCAAGAACTAACATTTACTGAGAGGAAAGAAGTTCAATAGCCTAAACTTTCAGACAGATATGTTTTTGGTTTTGTTTTGAGACAGTTTCACTCAGTTGCCCAGGATACAGTACTGTGGAGTCAGCCTAGTTCACAGCAACCTCAGAATCCTGGGCACAAGCAATCCTCCTGCCTCAGTCTCCAGATTAGCTAGGACTATAGGTATCCACCAGAATGTCCATCTAATTTTTTTTATTTTTAGTAGATCTGGCTGGTCTTGAACTCCTGAGTTCATAGGATCCTCCTGCCTTGGCCTCTCAGAGTGCTAGGCAGGCTTGAGCTACTGTGCCCCACTAGATTTTTTTTTTTTTTAAATACAGGGTCTCCTGGCTCGGCGCCTGTAGCTTAGTGGTTGGGGCACCAGCCACATGCACCAGGGCTGGTGGGTTGGAACACAGGAGTTGTGGTAGAGGCCTATAGTCCCAGCTACTTGGGAAGCTGAGGCAAGAGTATTGCTTAAGCCCAAGAGTTTGAGGTTACTATAAGCTGTGATGCCATGACACTCTATAGCAGGCTACATAGTAAGACTCTGTCTCAAAAAAAAAAAAAAAAAATTACAGGGTGTCTCTCTGTTGCCAAGGCTAGAGTACAGTGGCATCATCTTAGCTCAGTACAACCTCAAACTTCTGGGCTCAAATGATTATCCTACCTCAGCCTCCCAAGTAGCCTGGACTACAGGTATGTACCACCATGCCTGGTCAATTTTTAACAATTCTTTTGTAGGATCAGTTTTACTATTATCCAGGCTGGTCTCCAACTCCTGGCCTCAAAAAATCCTCCAACCTTGGCATCCCAAAGTGTTAGGACGCCAATGCACCCAACATAAGACAGATTTATTTATTTATTTATTTTGAGACAGAGTCTCACTTTGTCACCCTCAGTAGAGTGCCAGGGTATCATAGCTCACAGCAACCTCAAACTCATGGGCTCAAGAAATTCTCTTGCCTCAGCCTCTCAAGTAGCTGGGACTACAGGCACCTGCCACTACACCCAGCTTTTTTTTTTTTTTTTAGAAGTGGGGTCTTGCTCTTGCTGAGGCTGGTCTCAAACCCATGAGCTCAGGCAATCCACCAGCTTTGGCCTCCAGAGTGCTATAATAGGCATGAGCCAATGTGCCCAGCCTAGAGACAGATTTATTTTTAATGATTTTATCACATATTATAGGCATAGCCACTTCAGGGGTAGGAGGGCAACTTGTCCAGAAAGTAAGGGTAAGATAGGCCTGGAGCCTGATCTATCACTAATATTTCACTTCTGTAAATCTGATAAAGGTGATATTATACAACTGCTTAAATCTGATCCTGTAAGTATGTGGAACTAGTGAACAGAAAGCAAGAGTTAGATGATAGATTTCACGTTTTAGAAAGAGCCTTTTGGCAAAAGACAGCAGTGGAGAGTGCAGTTAGACATGCACTAGCTTAGCAAAAGTTACGAACTTCGACTGAAAAAGTAGGGAATAAATCAGCTCTCTGAGAGTTACATGGAAAAAAGGAAGCACAGAGAAAGACATCCTGGTTTCTGGCTTCCAATAATGACAGTAAGATAAGGAATGAAGCACAGAGGATCAGATTCAGAAAGAAGAGTGGGTGTAAGAAAAGAGGATGGCTGTGTTTCAATCCTAACAGCTTCAGATCACAAACTGTAAGCTAGGGTGAAAGCAGATTTGTGCAGCTCACAAAAGGAAGAGGAGAGGCGTCTGAGCCTTGGAGACCAGGAAAGGAAAGAGAAGCCAGGCTATATTTGAATCTTCTGTGAGATGAAGCCAAACTTGCCGACATCTGAACAGAATAACAATGTGGTCTGTGCTCTCTGCCTCTGCTGTCTGGTTATCAGGGCATAACTAATGAAATTTCAGTAGAACAATACAGCTAAAGTCGCCACATTTTCAGACACGCTCGCTTTCTTTACCTTATTAAAACAAAAATATGAGTATTATGTTCTACTTTTATATAAAATAAGGCAGAAAAACCAAGTTATCTTGCATTTCTCATATGCATATTTATAGCAAAAACCTACTCTTACAACTAAAAAAGTCTTACATTGTTTCTAAAAGAAACAAATACTCAAGTCTAAGACTGACTATTCTAAGGACTTTCTATATATTATCACTCATTATAACCACCCTTCAAAGTAGTTAGTATCTTTATTTTACACGTGAGGAAATTGAGGCTCAGAAAGATGAAGTGACCGTCCAAGATCCCAGACAGCCTCCAGGGCACAAGAGGTCTTCCCGCTCCCCATCTTCCAGATGCGGCATTGAAAAGCAAGCACAAGAAGACAGTTGCAACACAGTGGGACACACTGCCTCCCCCAGGCCAATGGGAGAGCTGAGATTCAACTCCACGTTAACTAACAAACCATGTTCAAATCCCAGTAGCTGACTACAAACTGTTCTAGAGGAAGAAGAAAACAAAATGCAAAATAATAAGGTCTCTGTTCCCCTCTTCTCAGAGTTAAGACAGTTAGCTACATGCTGTCATTAGCATTCCTTGTTACAATGGCCTGACACTTCTTGATTCTGCCTGTTCAACTATTCTCTCCAACCTAAAATGCCATCCTCTTTCCCCTTTCTCTCCAGATTCTACTGGTTCTTCAAATCTAACTCAAGTTCCTCATCATCTGAGAGGCCTTTCAGGCAAACTCCCTCCATCATACTCACCTTCATTTAAATTTTATTCCAGTTACTGCCATAAGTCATTCAACCATCCATCCA